CCGCCCGGGCCGGGCCTGCGCCAGCGCTCCCCGCACCCGCGGGGGCTGCAAACCGCTGGGCACAGCTCACAAAAAAACATTCCCCCAGCCCCACAAAAACACCAAAATCACAACCGGCCACCAGCCCCCACAAAAAAAAATTCCAAACCTCAAACCCACAAACCGACCGCTTCCAGCCCGTCCTCGTGCGCCTTCCCAGGGATCCCAAGCCCGCGGGAATGCCCCCGGAGTGGGACAGAAAGCTGCTCTGGCCGAGGCACTTTGACCACCCGGAGCACTCCTCTGGGGGCCCTACAACACCCGCCAGTAGAACCTCGCTGTGCAAAGGAACTATTTTGGTGCTCCCTGGGGAAGCCAGAACTGAAACTTTGTTCCTTTTGCCTCGGGCCGGAGACCCCCGGGCTGTTTTCTGCACACACTTCCAGCCCCCAGCGCTTGCTGCAGGCGCTCCCTGCAAATGTCACACTGCCAGGGCCCTTTCCTTGCTGTCACCCGCTGTGGCTGGCCATGAGCAGAGCTCCTGCACTTGCATTTCCAGCTGCTGTGCAACCACAGCTGAGGTATCTGCAGCTGCCTGAATGCAAAACCTGGCAAAGGAGCCTCTCTCGAGGGGGAAATCTCCCCTTCCTGAGCCAGCCCGTGGCAATGCTGCCATTCTCTGCTGCTGCTGCTGGGGCACTCGGGGCTCTGGCTGAGCAGGAAAGGTGACCCTGAGCCAGGAGCTTTCCTTGGCTGCAGCAAAGCCTCGGTGCACGAAGACCTTCCCAGTGCTGTGCTTGTTTGTTTTTTATAAATTAACTCCCCCGTCAGCTCTGGTCAGAGCTCTGTAACTGTGTGTGACACTTGTCTGTGGCACTGTGGGGATGGCCAAGGGGACCTTCCCCGAGCTGTCTGCAGAGGAATCCACAGCAGCCCAGGCCGGGGGTGCTCAGTGGCCACTCAGTTCCGCTGACTGGACGCGGCTCTGGCCGCTTCCCTTGGAGCATCTCCAGGGAGGGAACGCGGGGGCTGCCCTGGCTGTGGTGTCACTGCCAGGGGAACGCTGGGGCTGCTGGCCCAGCTGTGGTGTCACTGCCAGGGGAACACTGGGGCTGCCCCGCTCCTGCCCCACCCCATCAGCTCTGCCAGCGCCTCAAGGGGACACAAAGGTTGAGCCAAAGGGTGAGAGGTGCACAAGGGGCTGAGCTGGGATCTGGGACCCATCGGGATCATGGAGTCCAGCCCCCGGCCCTGCACAGACACCCCAACAATCGCAGCCTGTGCATCCCTGGCAGCGCTGTCCAAAGGCTCCTGGAGCTGCGGCAGCCTCGGGGCCGTGCCCATTCCCTGGGGAGCCTGGGCAGTGCCCCAGCCCCCTGTGGGGGAAGAAGCTTTTGCTGATCCCCAGCCCTGCCCTGGCCCAGCTCCAGCCATTCCCTCGGCTCCTGTCCCTGCTCACCTGGGCAGAGATCAGAGCTTGCCCAGAGAAGCTGTGGCTGCCCCTGGATCCCTGGAAGTGTCCAAGGCCAGGTTGGATGGTACTTGGAGCAAACTGGGATAATGGAAGGTGTCCCTGCCCATGGCAGGGGGTGGAACGAGATGAACTTTAAGGTCCCTTCCACACCAAGGCATTCTGTGATTCTGTGATTTTGGGAGAGATGCTGAAGCTCTGGCTCAGCTTTATCTCACCAAATGTCTGACCCAGCAGCAGCCATGGGTGGGATCATCTCCTCCTCCTTCTCGCTGTGGCTGTAACTCACCCAAGGGCAGTGTCATAAATGAAATTGAAATTTGGACGACTAGGTCTACTAAGTTAACAGCAGTTTAATAACAAGAAAAAAAAATATATAATTTAGTGAATGCAATAATACAGTTTAGTGGATTGAAGAGCAATTTGATATAGAAGGAATGCAATTTAGTAAAAGAGTACAATTTAGTGAATATATTCATATATATATATATGTATGAATATATATATTAATATAGCTTATATAATCGATAATTATTATTAAAGCATAAGCAAGATTGATTTGGGTATGGAGAGGGCTTCTCACCCCACCTCATGTACAAAACTAAGCAATTCAAACAAAACTTATATACTGTATGCTTCTACATATTCATTCATGTTTCCAGTAAGTCTCCTCCAATTTCTAATTCTTTAATTTTACATCACTATTCTTCATGGAGCATGCTTCACTTGTTGCTAAGGTGTTACCGCTGAAGATGAATAGATCACGCAGACACAAGTCGAGGTGTGGTGAAAGAAAGAGGAGTTTATTTTTCCTCCCAGGATTTATAGGCTTCTTACCATCGCCAGGGCTTGGATGGTCAGGATAACACTTTCTCACTGCACTTGCCATGAGAAATGCTCATCACAAGACGTGTAACAGAAAGAATGTACACATATCTATGTTTACAGTTACTGTCCTGGGAAAGTCCTTAGAAAACTATGTTAGCAAGCTCAGAAGCTGAGTTTTCAGGGCGACACTAAGGGGTCTTCAGTCTTCTTTCGGTGGTATTTTGGATGAAGGCTTACACTCATCCTCCTTGTCCTCTGGATAACCTTACAGGCTGTGCATGTGTCTTAAGCATAGTGTTACATAAGTGAGCATTGTGGTCCACTAATTAGTCTTATATTTTATAATTTTCAGGCCCTATGCCTAAAGTTGTTCCAACTTTATCCATCTCAAGGTTGATTTTGTCTTAGGACATTACTTGTCTCAAAACTACATCTTGTACCTTAATTTTAACATGTAACATCTGTAGAGGGGCTACATCTGCCTTGTAACACCAATTCCCTTGATTGCTCCTAATAATAACTTTCCAAATAGTTACACTTTAGTTAACACAAATCATTTCCATTTCTTACAGGAGGGTGTGAAAACAGGAGCATTGTTTGGTGTGGTCTCCTCTCTGCCTTTCACACCTTTCAGTGCTTTGACCCAGCCAAGAGCTTTCTCCAAGAGTGCAATGAAGCAGCTGTTCCTGCTCCCAGGTCTGGCTTTTTCTAGTCTCTGACCCTGACTGGTTTTATCCCTCTTGCTGTGCCCTCTGTTCCCCCAGGAACCTGCCCCAGACCGAGGGATCAGATCCAGGCACTGCTGCTGCTCCCTCGGGACCAGCCCCACTTTGGTTGTTGCTGGCAGTGCCAGCAGAAGCCGTGGCTGGAGCAGCGGGTGCTGACAGTGCCCCAAGGCCTGGGGCTGGAGGGGTCCCTGGGCTGGGGCTGGGAGGGAGCTGCCCCTTGTTCTCCCTCTGCCTCCCGCAGAGCTGGGCCGGGCACAAGTGGGGCAGCAGAGCCAACAGGGAGCCTGCGAGTCTCTTCCAGCCGTGCCTGCTCAGAGTTTGGCCTTGGAGCTTCAGGTGGGCAAAGGCAGCTGCTCTGCTCCCTCTGCGTGTGCCCGTGTTCAGCAGTGCTGCTCCATCAGTCTGTGCCCAGCAACAGGGAAAAGCCTCAGCCCTGCAGGGCCAGGAGCTGCCGGGCTCTGCCTGAGCAGCTCAGCCAGTGGGAAGGGAGCTGCTCCACACAGGAACCAGGAGCAAAGGACACTTCCTTTTCTAGGACGTTCTCTGTAAAAAAAACAACAAAAAACAACAAAAACAAACAAAAAAATACAAAAAAAATATGAAATATAAAAATTACCCCCGAATGTGTAGTGAAAAATCTTCTATAACTCTGGAGTAAGAAAGAGGTAACTGATCTTTTGAAAAAGAGAACTCAGCTTTGATTTTAGTTACTTAGTTTGTACACGTGCTAGTGGAAAGGATCCATTAGCTGCCTTCCTTTATAGATTTGATGGATGTTTTCCAATATCAAGATATTTTACACTGCAGTTAAAGGAATAGGAAATTGAAATACATGTTCTTCATGACTGTGTCTTGAGTGTAAAAATTTTTCAGTTTGAAACTTGGACCTAAAGTGTTGCAAATGGAAGTGATAAATCCCAATGGACTGAGTGAATGCAACTTTTCCTATGGGATGTGCAACACTCCAAGGACTTCCTCAGTGGGGCTGTGGGTGCTTGGAGCTTTGTCCTGTGCCACTCTGGGATGTCATGAAATGGGACTTCACCTGCCACCAGCCCAGGTCACACTCTGCCACCCCAGCTCCTTGGACCTTATGTCCCCAAAAATGACACAAGGTATTTCTGCTGCTCCACCTTTGCACAGAGCCACAGAGAGCTGGAATTATCCCATTTCTCATGTCTCCATTGTGCCATATTCCTAAAGAACCAGCAGCCCATCCCGACGAATATGGTGAGTTATGTGGATGGTTGTCAGCTCCCTTTCCTGCCTAGAAATCCTGGAACTGCCTCTAAATGCTGTTCCTTTCAGCTCTTGGACACCTACTCACACAGAGCTGGGAAAAAAAATCCCCTGGCCATGGCTTACAAGGTGAGTTATGCCAAACTTAGAGCTCTGTGGGAAATCTCTATCCATCCCTATCCCTTTAATATATCTATAAGTGGGGGCGTGCATGGATGTGTTTTGTATGGAAAGGAAGGAGTGTGCAAACAACGTGACTGACACATTCACTGTGTTCATTCCATACTCATGGGTACAAAAATATTATGGAAACCTTTGCGAAGACAGACCTGTCCATGGATACAGAGACATCCAAGAGCCCCTGTGTTGGGGGTTAGGTGTCCTTTTTTTGTTCTGGCTTGCCTGTGGAATTTTTACCCATTAGTTGCGGGGACAACCTAACTGTGGGTGCTCGACAAAGGACAAAGAGTGGCCGGGCCCAGGGGTGGTGAAGGGGACAGGAAAGGAGGGTGGGGGACAGTTTTTGGCTGGCTTTCTTTGGCTTCAGGGAAAGACATTCGTTTTCTGGGTCGCGGAGCTTCTACGGGAGAGAGAAGGGAATTTTGCCATCACCCAGACGAAGCTGCTGCTTCTTCTCCTTCTTCCCTCTTCGTTGGTTGGCCTCACATCCCCTGTCCTGCCGGGACGTGTGGCAGTGCCAGGCACCGCCGCGGAGCTGCTGATACACCTCAG